GGGGGGTCCCTTCCCATGCCTCAATTTTTGCCAAGAAAAGGCCCAAAGTAGAGCAAATAAATGTGTATTGTGCCTGTTGTGTGCCTGCGTGTTTATGTTCCCAGGCTGGGTGCCACGCTCACTCTGCGTTCAAGACACAGACCCACCAAAATGCTTCTCTTCTAGTGAAATGAGAGCAGAAGAACCTCCTAGAACAATGGGGTCCCACCTAGAAGTCCCTGAATGTTATAACCACCTTACATTGGTTAAGCTCCACTCTTGACATTAAAAGATGTAAATATATAACTATATCTTAAAATTGTGCCAGTAACAAATACGGTAATCAAGTGGTAGTAAAATAATGAGGTAGAAAGTGAAAATCCCTTATGATCTGCTCTCTAGCAATGAGGCCACTCTCAAAAGTTTATTCTGTTTTATTCCAATTGCATATGTATGCATGTGTCTGTTACACACATACGTAAATATGTATGTGTGTGTGTATTGTGTATGTTGAGATATATATAGATACACATATAGAAATAGCTGCAGATACAGATATTTTACCATAATAGGCATCAATTTCTAGAAACTGCCTTGCAACAGCTTTTTTCTTCAACTCAGAAATAGGCATCTTTTCATATCACACATGTGATCTACTTCATTTCTTTTTTATTTTTGCAGCACAATGAGAAATAGGTTTTATTTAGTCTTAAGATGTTTCCTTTCTGCATAAATATTAACAATAGTGTATCATGAGTCACAGAGCAAAATTTACATTACGGTTGTCAATTGAAAACCCAGTTTCTCTCTTTTCCATACTTCATTCCTTTTTAATTGATTTATTATTTTCCTTTTATCTATATTGACTTTTTAACTTAAAAATGGTGGACACTTAGGACTTCCCTGGCAGTCCGGTGGTTAGTACTCCGCGCTTTCACTGCCCTGGGCCCGGGATTCGATCCCTGGTCGGGGAACTAAGATCCCACAAGCGACACGGTGAGAACAAATAAATGAATGAGGGAATGAATGAAAGAAGGTAATGGACGCTTATTTTCCTATAGTTAAGTACTACAGAGAAAGCAGTAAGAAAGAGCACTTCGTTCTCATTAGTGGTTGGTCAGGATTTCATGGAGCGGTTGCTGCATGATATTTAACTCCTCTCCTGTTAAAGGATTGCTTTTTAACCATTACAAATATAATATTATTATGTGCAGTGTGCAGCCTTGTATATGGGTCTTTGGGCCCTGATGCAAACATTTCTTTGGGCAAATTCCTAAAAGTGAAATTAAATTCAAGTCTCTTTTGTCCTGGCCTGTTCTCCAGCCGCATGCAGTGTCTTTCAAACAGGGAAAGAACTAAGTGAGGAGGTGTTCTAGATCATTCTGTAGTTCTCAGCAAGCCAGTGGCCATCAGGCCCTAACACCCACCTGGTTTGGTTTCATCTCGTGTAGTTATGTACTGCACCGATCCCGGGGAAGTAGACCACTCGACCCGCTTGATTTCGGACCCCGTGCTGCTGGTGGGCACCACCATCCAGTACACCTGCAACACGGGCTTCGTGCTGGAAGGGAGCTCCCTCCTGACCTGCTACAGCCGTGAAACCGGCACGCCCATCTGGACCTCTCGCCTGCCCCACTGTGTTTGTGAGTCCTCGTTACTGGCTTGAGCCTCCGGGGTGCGTCTGGGGGTTGGCTTCTTCTTATTCCCGGTGGAGGGCTGGGCTGCTAGGAGGTGGTACCCACTCTTGGGAGCGTTTATTATCACTGTCCCCCAACAACAGCTAACAGGGATTGAGGGCATGGCTACTCTAACGTTTATGGTAAGTTTATCAGGCACCGCGCTGAGTCCTTTACCAGATTTCCCTCTCTTCTTCCTTGGGTAGCTTCCTGAGCATGGGAGTAATTTCTCCATCTTCCGAGGAGGATACTAAGGTTCAAAGAGGTGAAATCATTGCCCCAGGCCACACAGCTAGTTGGTTAAGAAGGAGGCCAGAGGCAAACCCAGGCCTGCCTGACTCTAAGTGATTAAAATGGAGCAGTCCGCAGGGCAGTAAATAGAGTGATTTAGACTCTCTTTGACGTCCTCTATGGGGCCATCAAAGCAAACGTTTGGTTAAAAAAACACTTTGGGGGGTTCTCTACCATAAAAACTCAAAAACAGGCTTCCAAGATCACTCTGAGAATGGAAGAGAAACTGCATATTCTCACCAGGCGGAAGAGGTGGAGAGCAGGGGTCTGGGGGGGCGTGGGTCTCAGCCTCGATGGCACATGGGAATCATCTAGGATGTTTTAAAACGCCCTGGAGATTCGGATGCAATTGGTCTGGGGTGTAGCGTGAGTTTCAAAAGCTCCCCAAGGTTTCTGATGTGCTGACAGGGATCGGACCCATTGCTTAAGAAAAGCATGAGGCTCTGCAGAAGGAACAAAGCCTCACACGATACCTGGGCTTTAGACATGTCAGCTGCGCTGCTATTTTATGAGTGTGTTTTGAAGAGATCCATTAAGGGCCCAGCCAGCCCAAGCTCCCAGAGCTGCACTGAGGTCTCTATAGTGCTGGGGAATCAGACTTTAAACAACAACAAAAGAATAGATGTTGATTGTATGTTTATGTTTATTGTAAACTACATCTTATGTGATGAACAGACTGTAACTTAAGGACGTGGCTCTCTCCTGAAGCAGCTGTGTTTTGTCACTTCTCACAAGTATCAGAACAGGCTTTGTGGAGTTTTTTCACGGCCACAAACAAGCAGCCCTGCCATTTAGATGGACAAAAGCATTCACTGTTTGGAAGACAATTGGAAAGCAAGAAAATCCTTGTCTTTTTCCATTGGATAAACAGATACAAGCAGACCTCAGAGATACTGTGGGTTCAGTTCCAGACCAACACAATAAAAGAAAATATTGCAATAAAGCAAAGTTTGGGGTTTCCCAGTGTATATAAAAGTTACGTTTAGCCTATACTGTAATCTATTAAGTGTGCTATATAGCATTACGTCTAAAAAAAAAAAAAAAAGTATGTACCTTAATTTTAAAAGACTTTATTGCAAAAAAAAAAAAATGCTAACCCTCATCTGACCGCGCAGGGTTGCCACAAACCTTCAATTTGTAAAAAAAAAAAAAAAAAAAAAAAAACCCCACAGTATCTGTGAAGCGCAGTAAAGCAACGTGCAATAAAACAAGGTATGCCTGTACTTATTGAGCACTTATTGTATGCCAGCCACCGTTCTGAGCAGTCACATGCATTAATTCACATTCACATAATTAATTAATAACAGAGATGTTCGTTGCTTCTGATAAAGAACAGAGCATGGTCAAATCCAAACTCTGGGGAGACCTTCCTCTCTTTCTATTCATGAGGCAGCCAAGGCCAGGGTCCCCTGTGGTAGTCCATAAATTCAGCTTTCTCAGCCCACAAAAGGGATTTATCACACAGACCCAGATAAATGAAAAATTTAAGTGCACATCGTCTACTTCACAGATTTTCCTTAATTGACATCTGATTCCTTTATTAGAGGAAGATTTATGTTTCTGGGTTCCCATTTTCTCTTCTCAAAAAGGGGGAAGGTGTGGTAAGAACACAACATGAAATGGGCCCTTTTAGCAAATCTTCAAGTGTGTAATAGAGTATCATTAACTCAAAGGCATGGTGTTGTACAGCAGATCTTTAGAAGTTACTTACCTTGCATAATGGGAACTTTATGCCTGTTGATAAGCAATTTCCCCATTTCCCCTTCCTCCAGCCCCAGGCAGCCACCATTTCACTCTCTGGTTCTATGAATTTGACCTTTTTTTTAAAAGATTTTTTTATTGAAGCATAATTGATTTCCAGTGTTGAGTTAATTACTGCTATACAGCAAAGTGATTCGGCTACACACACACACACACACACACACACACACACACACACACACACACATATACATTCTTTTTTTTTATACTCTTTTCCATTATGGTTTATCATAGGCTATTGAACATGATTCTCTGTGCCATCCAGTAGGACCTTGCTGCTTATCCACTCCATATATAAAAGCCTACATCTGCTGACCCCAGCCTCCCACCCCATCCCTCCCCCAACCCCCTTGACAACCACCAGTCTGTCCTCTATGTCCATGAGTCTGTTTCTGTTTCACAGGTAGGTTCATTTGTGTCATATTTGAGATTCCACGTATACATGATATCATATGGTATTTGTCTTTCTCTTTCTGACTTACTTCACTTTGCATGATAATCTCTAGTTGCATCTATGTTGCCCCAAATGGCATTATTTTATTCTGTTTTATGGCTGAGTAGTATTCCATTGTATATATGTACCACATCTTCTTTATCCATTTATCTGTCGATGGCCATTTAGGTTGTTTCCGTGTCTTGGTTGTTGTGAATAGTGCTGCTATGAACATAAGGGCGCATATATCTTTTTGGATTATAGTTTCGTCCAGATATATGCCCAGGAGTGGCATTGCTGGATCATATGGTAAGAATTTGACTATTTTTTAAAATAAATTTCCATTTTTTAAAAAAATATTTATTTAGGCTGCACTGAGTCTTAGTTGTGGCACACAGGATCTTTGTTGCAGCATGCGGGCTCTTGGTTGTTTCACGTGGGCTCTTAGTTGCGGCATACAGACTTCTTAGTTGTGGCACGTGAACTCTTAGTTGTGGCCTGCAGACTCTTAATTGCGGCATGTGGATTCTTAGTTGAGGCATGCGGACTCTTAGTTGCGGCATGCATGTGGGATCTAGTTCCCTGACCAGGGATCGAACCCAGGCCCCCTGCATTGGGAGCGTGGAGTCTTACCCGCTGGACCACCAGGGAAGTCCCTGAATTTGACTATTTTAGATGCATCCTATAAGTAGAACCAGACAGTATTTGTCCTTTTGTGACAGGCTTATTTCACTCAGCATAATGTCCTCAAGGTCCATCCATGTTGTCACATATGGCAGTATTTCTTTCTTTTTCAAAGCTGAATGATATTCCATTGTATGTATATACCACGTTTACTGTATCCATTCATCCATCAGTGATGTTTGTTTCCACATCTTGGCTAGTGGAAATAGTGCTGCAGTGAACACAGCGGTGCTAAAATCTCTTCAGGATCCTGATTTCAGTTATTTTGGGTAAATACCCAGAAGAGGGATTGCTGGATCATAATGCTTGTTCTATCTTTAATTGTTTGAGGAAGCTTCACACTGTTTTCCATAGCGGCTGCACCATTTTGCATTCCCACCAAGGGTTCCCTCTTCTTCATGCCCTCACTGACTCTTGCTGTCTTTTGTTTCTTTGATAATAGCCATCCTACCGTGTGTGAGGTGATATCTTATTGTAGTTTTGATTAGCATTTCCCTGATGACCATGACGTTGAGCATCTTTCGTGTACATGTTGGCCATTTGTATATCTTCTTTGGAGAAATGTCTATTCAAGTCCTTTGCCCTTTTTTTTTTTTTTTTTTTTTTTTTTGCGGTACGCGGGCCTCTCACTGTCGCGGCCTCTCCCGTTGCGGAGCACAGGCTCCGGACGCGCAGGGTCAGCGGCCATGGCTCACGGGCCCAGCCGCTCCACGGCATGTGGGATCTTCCCAGACCGGGGCACTAACCCGTGTCCCCTGCATCGGCAGGCGGACTCTCAACCACTGCGCCACCAGGGAAGCCCCCGAGAGTATTTTTAGCAAGGTTATTGGACATAAAACAGCTTTATTTATTTATTTTTTTAATTTTATTTATTTATTTATTTTTGGCTGCGTTGGGTCTTCGTTGCTGCACGCGGGATTTCTCTAGTTGTGGCGAGCAGGGGCTACTCTTCTTTGCGGTGCGTGGGCTTCTCATTGCAGTGGCTTCTCTTGTTGCGGAGCACGGGCTCTAGCCAAGTGGGCTTCAGTAGTTGTGACACGCAGTCTCAGTAGTTGTGGCTACTGGGCTCTAGAGCGCAGGCTCAGTAGTTGTGGCACATGGCTTAGTTGCTCCGCGTCATGTGGGATCTTCCCGGACCAGGGCTCGAACCCGTGTCCCCTGCCATTCACACGTTTAACCCTCACAAAACTGCATGAATGGTTTGCGTGTCCACTTAAAAGCAGGCAGAGAAGGCCCAGAGAGGGTGAGCAGCTTTCTTGAGGTCACACAGCAGGGAAGGGGAAAACCCAGGATTCCAGCTAAAGCCTGCCTAACCCCCAAAGTGTCTTCTTCCTACCTCGTACTCTGCAGCCCTGGTTCCTGGGTGAAGCTCTGGGGCTCTACTGTTGACCAAGACTTTCCACCAACAAGCAAGTCGTATAAGCTCTGGACATCTGCAGCCTCTGTTCACAGTCACTTGCCAACGCCATCGTTTGGTCCAGCTGGGACTCAAAGCCATGTCTTTTCACTCCTGGTCCATTTACCCCAGGCCACTTCAAGAACAGACAGGTCAGGCGTAGGTAGAGGGAAGAGTCTGAAATTTGCTGTCAGACCCACCTCCAGCTCTGCTGTGTGACCTTGGACCAGTAGCTGGCCCTCTCTGGACCTAGGGCCCCCATCTGTGAAAACGGATTACTGCTTCCTACCACGCAGGTTTGTTGGATGTAATTCGGTCATTTAACAAGTCCTCTTATCTGCAGGTGCAGGCTAGGACAGAGGTTCCCAAACTTTCTCAATTCCCAGTATCTTTGGAGTGTCA